TTTTGCAGGATGGAGCGGAAATTCATGAATTCCCAGTCTGCAGAGTGCAAGACTGAACCCTTACCTTTTCAGGCATTGACCCCCAAATTTTCACTGCTTCTTTCATCTGCTCAAGAAAGATTCATAGTCAGCTGGTTTCCGCTGATGATTTAAGCATTGTCTCGTGTAGAGTCGCCTTGATCAGGCTTAGACTGTCTGCACTGAAATCTTGGCTCCACTGAGGTCAAGAAGATTCTTGCCGTTGACACCAATGCATTATTGTTAATGAAACTAAAACTCTGCTCGTTACTCTTACCAGGAGCCTTGTCTACTCTACACAGTAGAGCCTCACATACGCAGTGCTACCCTGGCAGTAAACATCAAATGAACCTCTGGTGGAAACAATAGTAAATCTGGGGCATGCATGGACCCTGCCTCCCCTCATCCCCCACCATCAGCACAGACGTCCCAGGGAGAGTGATAAGCAGACACAAAGAAGCAAACACGGAGCAGGGGGAACATGTCAGTGGGCTGTGGATAATGCTGAGCTCAGTGTGCAGTTTTGCAGTGCTGTCTAATGCCTGTGTCCTCAGGGAAGTGGACTTTCTTATTTTGAAAAGGGCTTGTGCAGCAGGTTCATGAAAGATTTTTCAGAAAAAGCCTGTCTCAACAACCTATTAGAAACACAGCCTTATAACAGACTCAGAGATATGTCTAAAGCTGTTAGCTTAATTTATTGTGGTTGGACTGGGTGATCTGAGGCTTTATTTTTTGAGAGAAGTCTTCTTTTTTTCTGTTACACTCCAAATTTGGTGTTTTTCAATTAAAAACACATGACACAGATTGACTTCCTGGTCAGGTTTTTTATACCCACCCTGCACCATACTGTACTCTCTCTGCTAGGGGGTCTTATTTGTTGAATAGTATTTCTCACAAGCCTGTAGATTTCCTTCTTCATTTAAGTAGTTACTTAGTTTTTCTTTACTCTAAAGCTGAACTTAAATGAAACACAATTTACATAACAAGTCACTCAGAGCCTATTGTGTGTCAAATAAAAAGCCTGCCATATTTTATCCTTCCCAGCTGACAAGTAGAAAAAAATATGTTGAAAGGGACATACCCAGTTGTTATGGGGCTTTGACAGCATTTTTTTTCTTTTTTTCTTTTTTTTTTTTTAATTTAGTAAAGTGCCCTTGTCATAAATTAGGATTTTTCAACACAAAAAGATCCTAAAATATTAGACTGTGCTATCTGGACTTTATTGTTGACAACAGGCAGAATTACAAGGCAAATGACTTGTAGGAAGAAGCTACAAGAAAGAAGCAAAATGAGTAAGAGATCCATGACAGAGTAGAGATCCAGTAAACCAGTTTTTGCATTCCAAACATGAGCGATTCCATTGACTTTAAGTAAAACATTGTAATACTAGATCCTTTAATTCTTAATTCATCTGCTTCAAGTTGAAGATGTGCTTTGCTGCATGGGATTCGCAGTGAACAGTGTTTTGAAGGACTGAGTTGTAGGTAATAGAGTCTGAGCTTACAATTGCCATCAAATACCTGAAATTGTAAGGAACATTTGGGCAGCAGTAAAGCCTTATAACCTATGAAATGCACAACTGAGGTCATGACCAGCCAAGGATATTAAATATCCAAAGCAGTTTTCTAAGTCTAGCAGTTGGTTTTGGTGTATAGGTCACATTTTAAAGTGGTAATAATCTGCCTATGGCAGTTTTACCTACCTCTAGTATTATATTCTGTCTCAAGCCAGAGCATGGCGTGCTCTTCACTGATAAAAAAGTTCCTGCTCTTCAGCAGAGAAGTGACAGTCTCTCAGTGGACAGTGACACCGATGTGCTGCTGTCAAGGTGACAAGGAAATATTTGTGGTGAAGAGAAACATGTAAATACAAGTTTTTCTTTGAAGAAGATGGTGTCTTCTGGGTCTTGACCCCACCTGGGAGCCCTCACGGGCTGGAAGGTCTGAAATCCTCCAGCACCAAAGACTGACAAGTCTGTACATGGCCTCCATCAGCAGTAACTATTTCTCCCTGGCATATCCATGAGAAAATTAGTCCTATATTCGCAGCTTTTTGCCACTGACAGGATTAGTGGGAACACTAGGTATCCCACTGGGGCAATTCTAAGAATAACATTAATAATATAATCCTTCTGAATTCAAACATCAGCCAGAGCCATTCAGAAGCAGTAGAAGGGACATGATACATCCTGCAGCTAACATGGCATCTTCAAAGTGCATGGGCAGTGTACGCACAGTGCCTCTAAGTGATATAAATACTTCTCTTAGCACTCCATGCCAGGCTCCCTGTTGATACAAGCTGTTCACAAGAGATCCAGGCTAAACCTATCCACAGACAGAAGGAACACAAAAGGTTAAGGTTTTTTAGATGGAAAGTATAAGAAGTCTACAAGCTCCCAGTTACTAACTATCCAGTACTTCTTTGAAGTATCATTTTCCATTGTGAGCTAATCTGTACTTTAACCTGCATGTTTACACACCAGGGACAGCTTATTTTGGGAATGGTGGGCTCCATCCTCACCAGAATGACACAAAGCTTAGTAGGATCTTTTTGTGCCATATCCCCACCTCTGCTATGTGAGGACAGTACACACATTAGCACCGAGCCCAACACCACATCTCACCACAGTAGGAAGTGCACACCATGAGGCGAAGAACACCGTGCCTACACAAGACCCCTCAGCAGGGATCCCCATTAGTCAAAAGACATTAGAGTCAACCGCAGTCCCCAGGCAGGGCTTAGATAATAAAAAAGAGATTATGAAGTGCCTGCAACAGGAGGAAAGTCATAGTGGAGAGCCTGCAGGCAGAGGATCTGGCTACGTATGTTTCCATGCTGATCTTGGGAGACACCTTTTTTCCCTGTCAGCTCAGAGCAGATCAGCAAAGTAGAGGGTATTTTTGCCATTCATTGCAGTGCTCACTGACAAGACTACAGCAATGCATTATGCAGGCAAGGATGAGTAAGAACATGCTGGCAGTGCCAGGCAGCTATAGAGATTTGGAGTGCGTCCATCATTGCATCCCTGTCATAGGATGCAGATTGCATTGTCCAGAAATGGAAGCAGTCCCGAAGGACTGGCCAGGTAGAGTGAGCCGGCAAGTGGCCATGGATCTTTAGGTATCACCTCCTCTTCCTACAAGTCCCTAGTTTTCAAAGACCATGTTTGTGAAGGATATAACTTCTCTTTTTCTTCAGTATGTTCTTAGTAGTATGACAGGTACAGTACATCAGGCATTGGGCTACCCGATTATTTCTAAAATGGAAAGACAAAGCATTCACAAAGCCCATTATTGTGCTGTGGATCTCAGCACAACATACAATCATAGCTTCCAGAAGCTCCTAGAAGTTGAATAGGTTTCATTTTCCTTTGGACAGCTCTTCCTTATCCTAAAACAGATTTTGTGGAAAGTTGGCTGTAGGGAATTTACCTCTGGTTTACCTGCTTTGATTACTGGTGAAGGAGAACAGCAGTTGGAGGCGTTTGCAGATTATTACATTTTTCAAGTCTGTTTTTAGCACAGCTTAGGAGGTTATATGCTTTTCTGGAAAGGTGCTCATTGATTAGATCACTAACTTGGATGATGAAAATGCTCCTGGACAGCTACAGAGTTGAGTGACCTTGGATATGTTACTTAACCACTACATATTAGTAAAAGACATCTTTCCCTTATAAGGATTTTTGGTAGAATAAGAATATAAAAGATTGTAAACTGCTCAATACTACAATGGACAATATGTATTTAAGATTGATATTTTTGTATTGATAAAGCATGTGTCTTAGATGATGCTATTTGGTATGCTTAATCAAACACTGAAATAACCAGGGAGCTGATTAAAAGTGTTCTGTATAACCTTATTGAAGATGTAGCAAGTTGTCCTAAGTGTACTTGTTTTGGAGAGTATCTTGCTAGAAAAGAACCTTCCAGTTCAGAACCAGAAGCTTTCTGTATGGCAGCCAGGTCTCCCAGTCTCTCTTCCTTTTCTACATTTATGCCTTGCTGTATTCCTGGCTCCTCCATGCCAGGGTTTTTAAAAGTGACTACACATTTTGGATGCTTCAGTTTCTAGAGAGCTCTGAGGTTCCCCCCTCAGTGCCCAGATGCTCCTGTCACAGGTTGCAGGAATGGGAGAGCAGCAGATGCAGACCCAGAAACAGGCTCAGAGTTCAGTCTCTTTTTTCCCTAGACCTGCAGATGTGCAAGGCAGGAACTGAGTTCAAGCTGCTCCACATTTCTGTGTGTTTCTCCTTGTATGCATCCATCTGTGAGAAGCTCCACTGAGCCTGGGAATACATATATATATATATATATATATATATATATAGCATATATATATTTTTTGCAATCCCATAATATGTTAGAGACAGATAGACCTATAGCACTCAGATCTATTTAACCTCAGTAAATGTGTTCAGTTCATCCCTCGGTATTGAAGGGCTTTAATTAGTAACCAACATGCCGATGTGAACTCATGCCCACCAGCCTGAAGAACTGTGTGGTTTGACTTTTGAGCAGCACAATACAGACAGAAATAGTAGATAAATAATGAGACCACCTTTGGTTTTAGGAATAAGGATTTTCACCCTCCAGCAGAGCTGGTGTTAGCCAGTACCCTGATTCCGGGACTATCCCCATTCAAAGATCAATTCCCTCAGGGGAAGCCATAGGAAAATGCATTGAATAGCTATGGAATATCTGCCTATAGGGGAGGTTTCTTCTATGCCTACTTAGCATTTAGCCTAGACTAAAAACATGGGAATGAATTGCCCTTTAAAATGTTTTTAAACCTGTCTAATACAAATGTGGATATTTTTGTCATATCAGAATGTAATTCATCTTCTCTGTCCTTTCAGGATGAAAAGTCTACCTCTGGCATTACAGTTAATGCCATGTCCTACCCTCCAGAAAATGTGGGGCATCACAATGAGTTCAATCTCTAATTCTTGCCATACCATGTTCTTTTATTTTCTTTCCATGCAGAGAAACTAAAGCACAGAACCTGTCTACATGACTGCAGGACTGACCAAGGAAGGAGCGGTCTGCAGCACACCTTTCCCTCCCAGGGCACCTCTCTCAGACACACGTCAGTCTCTAATGGCTTCGGCCACCTCATCAGGCACTGGGAGAAGAAGATATTTCTATCTCTTTACAAGGTAAAGAAAGAAACAGGCACAGGTCCAATGAGGCAGATATTCTGAGGTGAAGTCTGCCTTCCAGTGCTGTATTTTGCTATGGTCTGTTAGTTTTGTACTGAATTTTTGTTCTGTATGAAAAGTCTTTTCTGGAAATGAAATAAATGAACAAAGGCCAAGATGAGTTCCCTTTGTCTACTGCTATTGCTAATGCAATACTAGCACCCTGTGGCCCTTCCCACAGCAGCATCCTTGGACTATGTTTCCAACCATCCTGTGTCTGATGCACAAGTAACCAGGCCTAAATAGTCCTGTGATGTCTAGTGTATTATACTGGCACCTAAAGCGATTAGTAGTTGCTGGAAAATGAATTAAGAGAAATATAGACAATATGCATACTGGTACATTTAATATAGAAATGTAAGATAAAAGCACAGATATAAACCTTTCCCCTTTTCATTCTTTTTTCCCTCTTTTATACCAAGCTGTGTTGGGATTGCTCTTCTTTTAAATATTTTTAGAAATAATGAAATAACTGATGCATTGTAATCCCAATAGAGGCCTCACCATTGTACCCTCAGGCACAGCTCTGCTATTTCAGGCTCTGAAAGAGTGCAGTTTAATAGAGTGAGAAGATCAGAAAGCTTTGTCTTTGTCCTAACTTGAAGTCTGAGTCCTCTAGGATCTGCTCAAATACCCTGGGATTTATGCTTAGTTCTTTTAAGCATTATTCCAATGCTGTAAGAGAAGACTCTTGAGCTGGGACCATGCTTCATCTCCAGAGGCAAAGAAGCTTTAGGGTAATCATTTCATTGCCTAGGGATTTGGGAAAAGTTTAAGGCATCATTGTGCCTGAGGATTTCAAGCTATACCAGGGACCAGAAGAGTCACTGGCATACATCAGAGTAGATTCCACAGCCCAAATCAGCCCACAGCCTCCAGAGTAGCATATGCTACAGAGTATTTTCTGCTCTTAATGCTTTTCCTTTCATGCCTGCCATCCTTGCTAGGCCTCATAAGCATCAGTCTTGGAGGAACAGCAGGGATTGTTCTTGTCTCAGTTACTCAGCTCTAGTCCACATGTGCCTTTAGAAATGTGCACTGGAACCAGACCTAGGGCAGAGTCTGCCACTGTTCAACTGGATTTCCAATGAATTTCAAGTTGTAACATGCAAACTCACTAAAGAAAAAATCTAGAGGGATCTCGTGTAACATAAATAATTAGTTACGGTCATAACTGAACAATTGTTATGCAGTGCAGCTGGCTGTTTCTATCTTTAGGTGATCAAACCAACATTGGAAATAAAAATTATATAACAAATAGGTAATGAATATAATAAAAAATTCTCAAGCATAGTCATTCAGATTTTAAATGAATTTCTATAAATTCTGCTCATGCCTTTCCTCCCATCATCAGTGAATATTCAAGAAAAAGGTTCATGGTCAAAAGCATTCACAAAAATAGCTTGTTTTAATTAGGTGATACAAAATATTCACAGAAGTGCGTTTCCTATTCATAACTGTTAAAACCACACCAGAAATCTTTCTTTAATAATTTTTGCCTGCTCTAGCAGGACATGGAGGCCTTCCACCCAACCTCTGTGTCCCAACAAAGTGCTTGAGCTTTATTTCATGCAGGAAAACAGCTCCTCTCTAACCATTTTCTCTTTGAAATTCAGCTTGATGCTACTTCACATCCACAGGAACATGAGTATTTTTAAAATATTGTCCTTTGCCTTCTTATTTGTCTGACAATTGGCATCAAAGCCCTTTTGTTGAGCAAGATGATTTAAACAGTTGAGGAAATTGCCCAAAGCTGTGGGCAAAGGGAAAACATGAGTGAGGGTTTGATTTCTGTGAGCAAGATTATGTACTGTAAGCAGTGGAAAAACTCAAATTAATGGTTACCTATGGCAGAAAGCCAGGATCTTGCAGAGGCTTTTTGTGCAAGAAAACTGAGAAAACTGCCTTTTTTATTAAATCTTACTGTGGTTGTGGATTTTGTGGATGTCCTTTGTAACCAGACCGGGATCTGTAAAACCCAGTTTCCATTGACAACGTGCAACCAAAAGGCATGATAGTTCTTGTCCTGTCAAAAATCACAGGTAGGTGTTAAAACGCTGATATTTAGCTGATATGTCTCAAAAAAAAAAAAAAAAAAAAAGAGAGAGAGAAAAAATAAGACAACAGCAGGGTTAAGCCAAGACAGAGGAGTCAGTGGGGCTGGAGTGGGAGGTCAGTGGTTATGGCTGTGGGGTCTCTCTGGAGGGGCTGTCTGCCCTGTGGACTGATGTACCGTCAGAGAATCTGGGCTGAAAAAGCAAATGGAGGAAGTAGGAAAAGCATTTCTGATCTACCTCAAAGATCTTGGGAAGCAGTGCCATGCTTCTGCCCTGCATGTGGCAGGGCAGAGGCAGGGAACCCGCGTGGGAAGGCCGCAGGGCAGGCCTGTCTTTGCCTCACTGCCCTCCGTGTTTGCTTAAGGCAGAGGAGGCAGCCCTTTCTGAGGTGCTTTTAACACAGGTGTTAATAATTCATTTCATGTGAGTTTCCTGCTAACGTGAGGGGAAAGAGATGCTGGGACAGGCTGTGTTAGACTCATCAGTATGGAAATCACATACTCCCAGTCATCTATTTAAGAAGCATGTCGGTGCAGGGGTGGGAGTGCAGTGACTCAGCTCAGGCAGCGGCAGCAGCAGCGGAGGAGACCCGCCACGGCCTCCATCGCCCACCACTGCGCCCAGCTCACCCACCCCGCCGCAGCTGTGCTCCCTCCTGCCTCTCTCCACCATCAGAAGCAAAGAGACAGCTCTGGGGAGCCGCTGCCGGGTGGCCCCACGTCACCTCCCTTCTCCCCCAAGCTGTGGAGGAGCCTGCCACAGGCACACTGCAGCAGCCTGGGGAGGGCGTGGGGGGACACGGGTGTGAGGACAGCTTCCTTCCCCCGGAGAAATGGTGATTTCCAGTTGCGGCCTGAAGCAAGGTTTGTGATGGTGTCACTTCACTATTGTGTAGGCCCCGGCCTGCCCCCAGGTTGCTGGAGCGGGCGGAGGAGATGGGCGCACTGGTGGCCCACGCCCAGCCCGAGTGCCGGGGCTGCGGCTGCATTTCTCTGTGACGGGGCTGGTTGCATGAGGTGCTTTACCGGTGGAAACACCATCAACAGTTTGTGCAGCTGGGCAGCATCGGGGTTTCAGCAGTTTGTTGAGTCTGGACCTGCTCACGGCATGGCACGGCACACCAGCGTGGTGCGAGGCCCGCGGAGCTTCAAGTGCCAGTGGCTTCCCCGTCTTTCCCAGGGGACCAGCGCTAGGACGTGTCTAGCCACAGGGCTGCAGGATCTCGGGCAGTGGCTCATTGGCAGGGTCTGTGCAATTTGTGACCCCCGTGAGTTCAGTGTTCCTGGAAATCTGGTAATTTAAGGTGCAGAGCCTGTTCTTCTGCTATCCTGCACCTTGCAAGGCAAAGCAAAGCAGGCACATATGTCCAATACCTTCTTAAGGTAAAGTTAAGAAAAAAAAATGATTATTAATAATAAATTATTATATATATAATCAGCTAGGTCTGGGTCAGTCTTCAGGAAAATGCTACTGAACTTGTACCAGACCAGTGGATGGCCACTGAAAGCTGGTTTAGATTGTTAGTTTTTCTCCTCCAAAACCATCTCCCAGAGATCACTTGCAAAGTCAGAGCAGAAGGCAAGAAATTACCATGTCTGAACAGTTTAGTTATGATACAGGTCTACTCGGAGGGGCTGGAGACAGTTTAAGTTAAAATGGATTTTAACTTTGATAATGCATATGATTATGCTCTGCCTTAAAAAAATCCTTTGAAGTAGGGAAGTTATCCACATATAGATGTTGAAACATGGTAAGATTAACATTGTGTCTCATTTATATAAAAATTTGCAGATTTACGGGATGAATTGCTTATTTTTTGCCTGAAGAGAAATAACATGAGGAGAACAATTTTCAGAAGAAGAGAGTTTGTGTTTTGCAAAGTGTCACATGAATCCAGTCTCAAAAATTGTACTGGCTGTAGCAGGCCATCCGTTCAGAGGCATAAAACAGCTAAACACAGAAAACAAACTAAACCAAACTCAAAACTTTCCTGACCAGCAAGAAAAGGATTTCACCAAAATGAAGGGAGTTATGTTTGAAAAATTCTTCACAAAGGCTGCTCAGGAGGAAGTCACTCAAGGACTTCTAGCTGTAGGGTAAGTGGAAAAGCCCTAAGGGTTTATCTGCAATAACAGTCTCAAGAGTAACCTGTCATTGCTTCCCAGAAGGATAACATTGAATGTAATAATTAACCTATCTATAACCAGCATTTCTCTCCTAATAGAGGAAAGGGGTGGAGAACAGCCTGTCAGAGTGTTTGCTTGCTTTACTGTCAACAACATATCCTTGCAGTAGATGTACATCTAGAAAGAGAGTACAAGATTGAACTAACTGCAGAGCAGTTGGAAGGAAAGAAAAAAAATCCCTTGATGGAAAGCTGGGAACATTTATAGCCAATTGGTATTTTTGAATGGAGCTAGGAGGACAATTTTCCTGCCTTTTCACCTATAAATAAATCACTAGAAATAGATTCAAGTGCTGGTGGGACAGGCCAGTCTGTTTTTCTGCCTCTCGGCAGGATAACCTGGCTGTGTGGAGGTCTATCACTATTCTGTATTTTGTTTTGAGGCAGAGTCTCAACAGGTTGCTCAGAAAACAAGTTTAGACTGAGTAAACCGAAGTGAGTTCATATTTTTGGCCTCAAAGACCAAGTTCAAACATTGAGAATTCAGTTGCCAGTATACAAACCTCCGGACAGAAAAACTCCAAAAATTGTTGCTGTTTATTTTTCCTGCCCAGCTCCATGGACGGGCTTCACTTTCTTATGATGTGTTCAGCTCTTTCTGAAAAGCAGACACTGTTGATAACTAGTTTTGTTAGTGCTCTTCCAAACCCTGGCTCAAGTTATCCCTGCCTGAAGTACCCCAACAGCCAATATTTGTTGAGAGTCAGATAAGGATGAAACCTCATTTCTTCACTTCGATACAGTGCTGTAGGAAGAGCTGACAGTTAAATAAAACTTACTGATTCAGCTCACCCAAGTACCTCCGCAGAGGAGTTGCCACACTCTTGACAACACATCAGTGTGGTGTTATGCTTCTTGAGCTGAATGCATGCTAGTTGGAAAACGTTCTTCAGTTTTCTGCTTGCATCTATGCAACTTTCATGGGGATTTTTCTTAAGCTCACTGCTGTTTGTAGTCACACTCTGTCATCAAAAGGAGAAAAGGTTTGTCCTGGTTGCTGCTAAATACAGATGTCTTTTCTTTTACCTGAGTCCTGGTTATCAGGGCTCTGTAGCAGAGGAGAGGAAGGAGGAGGGAAGGGGACCAAAACTTCAATATTACCAGCTTTGCTTGCTCATGCCCAATAGTCAGGAAAGACTGGAGCCAATGCAGCAGGCCACTGCGCCAGTCCAGCTCTCACCAGGTGTTGCCACATGAGTCATGGATGTTGGAACATTGTAGTGCCGCAGCGATGGCTCTCCTGTCACCAGTTGTAGCTTTAAGTCATCTTTAGCCAATTCTATAAGTGGGGGCTTATTTGATACAAAAACAAGTATGATGTTTCCTTTCTGAGACCTGCTGGACTGGCCAGCTTGCACAATTCCTTTTGCAACAGATCTCTGTTGCAACAATTCCTCCCTTTAAACATGGTAAAGGTTCTTTCTGCTGTGGCATCTGAAAGGATACAGTTACTTGAAAGTGGGGTGATAGCTTGATGCCCTACAGTGAAATCTGCTTAAGGGTCTGTGCTCTTGCACTCAAGCAACAAAATTAAGTAGGCTTCCAATACTTTATTCAACAGTGGTTCAGTGTGTATTATTCTAACCACTGTATGCAATCAATGCTTCTGAATATTGCACTAAGCAGGATAGGAGGCCTTTTTATACAAGAAAATATATTTAACATGTTTAACTGATCATTTTTGTATTTTAGCCAAATGTGGACTTTTATTGGTGTGCAAGGGATTACCCTTAATCCCTAAGCATCCAAAGGAGGTGTGAACAGACAGGATATAATCTGCAACTGTTCTAGTATCTTTTGCCTTTGATTTTAAATGCAAGGCCATGATTAGAAAAAGGACTGAAACCTGAGCTCTGATTATTGAAAGGCCATCAGGAGTCATTGCTGATAGCCAACTAAATATGTTTTTTTCAAAGAGCATAAGGCAAAAAGAGAGGGGATCTGAACAGCAGGGCAATTTGTTCTGAGTATGGCATCAAACACTGTGATTTTGGGGAATAATCAGGAAAGAAGTAGGTATGGTAAATGTGCTTGATGAAGAGATACCTAGTGATAAACTGGTTGTGTTCTTAACATCATGCAACTGCTGGCTACTATCCTGAATGTGACCTGGATGAAACTGCATCAGGTTAGTCAGGAGACAAGATTAAATAGCTTTAATAATTTCATCGGATTTTACAGATTTTTTGAGTCCTGGTAAGTATGGTTCCTGTGATGAGCCTTGTGTAAGTCATGACAGGCAAAAGAATGTCTAACTGCATGCGAGAGTTGTTCTGCCCCAGGAGCAGCCTGCAGCTATTACCAGACAGTATCCTGCCTTTAAATATTTTATTCTGACTCTTTTGTTCTCTCATGGAAATAACTGAACAATGATGGACGGGGTTAGAAATCAGGAAATAGGCACTATTCACAGTAGAAGCTGTGGTTTGGCTGCTATTAAGATGTGGTTGACAGTTAACTGTATTGAACTTTTGTCTAATGCCAAGAGTTGGGATCCAGCATTTCAATGCTTTACCGGTTTTAAAAAAACACACAAGCAATCTTTAGGTTAAGGAAAATATCTCTATAAATAGATTTGGCATTTACAGCACAGGTACCTTGGAGAAATATAGTTGTCAGTGGTCCTTGTTTAGTTTTTGTTGTCTTTCCTATCTAAAACAAAAGGTGCAAAAACCTCTTGCAATGGAAGAATGACTCTGACTGTGCATCCTGAACTTCCCTATTTGGCAAAGACATGAAATGAACTTAAACATATGAGGAAAAACATTCCTCCCAAACAGAAGCACAGAAATACAGCTATAAAGTGTCAGGGGCAGGGGATAATTAGGAGTCACTGAAGCCAGAATCTCCTGATCTGTGAGATTAAGTCTTCTCTGATAGCAAGCCAAAGATGAAATTTTTAAAACTTAGGTTTCTGAAAATGACTAAAGAATCAGTCCTTAGCTATCTACCCAGCTTGAGAAAGAAGTTGAAAATTAATTTACTTGTCAAAGGATCATTTATAAGTCTGTTTTCAGAAATGGCTAAAAATCTTTGATCAGAAAATCACTTTCTAATTCTTGAGTCGTCTGCTATATTTAGACATCTAAGAGGATGACTTTTTCAGATGTACTAGGCAAAGGCATCCATAAAGTTGCTGGGAATTCAAGGGTGGTGAATTTTGTCTTTTTTAAGATAAAGATTTAGGTTTCATAATCATGGAGGAAAAAAAATGGAAAAAGGAAGACTAAAAGCTGAAGGCTCAGAACCCAGGAAGTAACATAAAAATATTAATTTTATTTGTTGAATTTCATGATTTTCAGGTAAACTGTGTGATCTGTAGACAGCCTGTTCATGATTAATTCCTCTTCCCCCCTGTTGAGTTCAAGATCGAATATAACATTAGGAATTGAGAGTTGACCATTTTGACCAGAAAATTATTGTGGTGATTTTGGTGTTCTTTGCGCAATTACAAACCACATTTTTGCATTTTTTTTCTAAAGAATACCTGTAATAGTTGAGAACAAGATAGCTTAACTTTTAGTGGCAGGATATCAATACTGGTATCTCTGAAGTTCAGCACAAGAGTGCCGTTATTCCAGCTCCTTCATCAAATTCTGTCAAGTTTTGCTTTTCCTATTATAGGACACTTTAGTCAAGCTGACAAACTTAGTCATCAGCTGGATTTCCTAAGTAAAAGAAGGTTGATCACAGTTATGTCCTGCTCTTCTAACAAAGCAGTTGTTCCAGATAGTGTTTACAAAGTTGTGTTTGAGGAGAGAGTAGTTGCTGGTGTAAATAGAGCAAGGACATGTGTAAGACATATGCAAGAACACCAGGGGTGGCGAGAGCCTGGGTTGCAGGAGGGGTCGGGAGCATGCTAGAGGACCTTGCCAAAAAGAAATGGGAGAGCACGGAGAAGGAGAGGCAAGAAAATGAGGTAATGACTTTAATGAAATAAGAAATAAATATAGATGCCTGAGAAAATAAACAAAATATTCTGCAGAGTGTGAGAGTTACTGAAATCCTTTAGATCTATTTTCTGCAGTTGAATTCCCTGGTACCAGATTTTCCAGTGCAACCTCTTACCATTTTTTTTTCCAAACAGCTGGGAATCCACAACGTGTCTTTCCTGGGTGTACTCCCTGTGTCTGAACAAGAGCTGAGCTTCAGTTTCAGCGCTCCTCGGTGGAAGAACTAACAAGATCTGAGAGGGGATTGACAGGAACTGGTAGTGCATTTGTGCTGGTTTGCTTTGAGCAGGTAATTTATATTTAGTCACTGGGTGGCTTGGACATTTTTCTGTAGACTACACTTTACATTGTGAAAGCTTTCTCTGCAGTGGTGCCTAAGGTTGCTGTGAGAATGCATTTTCTCACTTCACCAGTCATTTTGCCCACAAACACCAGACCTTCCACACCCAGATATGTTCGTACAAGGAAGAAGTATCCAAATTTTTAAAAAGGTATTTATTCCTTGTAACACTGAGTTTCAGTCTTATGCTGTTACACTAATCGTCAGACTCTCAAGGACACAGAAGTGGGTTGGTATAATAGTGGATGAGCTTTTATTCATTATTTACCCAGGTTTTAGACTTGTGCACATGTCTCAAAGCAAATATAAGGTTTTAAATTCCGTTACCACGGTCAGATGTTACTCAGAAGTAAGAGGAGGAAGTAAAAAATAACTTGAGTGAACCTACATACTGTTTAAAATGCGTTAGTCTTAGCTGCCAGAGTTGCAGCAACGAAACCAGTCATTTCAGGGAAAGTCTGGTCTTCTACAGCCTCCAGGCATGGTGTGGGGTCAAAAGCTTGGCAACACTTTGGGTTTTTAGGTTCAGTTGGGGATTTTTTCAGGTAAACTGTTCCCCACACCATAAAGCCCCTTGAGGCAGGTCAGTGCAGGTAGGAGGCAGCAGGGCAGCTGCTTGGGGCCCCTCCATCCGTCCCTTTTATCCCCACCAGCCTTCACAGGCAGCAGCCACCCTTTCCTCCCGCCCTGCAGCAGGGCAAACCCAGGGCATCTGTGAGCGCCCGGTGCCCACGAGCCTCCAGGGCAGCTGTGGGAGGCTGCAGGGTGACAGCAGCACATGGTGGGTGCTGGTCCTGGCCCCGGGTCACCCATGGCCTGGCAGCATCTCACAGACGCTCAGCGCGATGCCTCGTAGGAAATGCTGCTTCCCCACCCGACATTGCCATGGTGACGGGGAAACAGGCCCCATTTCAGGCTCTTTTCTTGGCAGCAGTGTCTGAAGGGAGCGGCCAATGTGTGGGTGCATAAGTCAGCCCTGTTCCACACACTCACTATAATCATGTATATACATGTATATATATATAAATACATATATACACCTTTTTTTTTTTTTTTTTTTTTGCTAGAAAGCCCTTGCAGAGCCTGTTTGAGGAAGTAACCTAAATGATTGATATGATCCAGAGAATCAAGAACGCAGCTTAGGCAGGGAAATCCTAATTTTGGAAAGAAACACCAGTCCAATGTTCACTGTTCAGTCCAAGGCAGCATTTGGTTCTTTCCACTGCTTCCAGCTGTGCAACAGGCATGGGAGACGCCGATTGCCCAGCACAGCAGTGCTGGGTGAGGAGGTGTCCCAAGCTGAAGGCATCCCCGTGGAGCTCCCAGCAGCTCCTTAGCCATGTGCAGGAGAGCACCTTCTGCAGAGAGGGGGGCTCTTCAGGTGACATGCAGGACATCTTGGCATGCCAGTGATCCCACACCCCTTGTCCTTGTCCTTGCAATGTTCATATGACTAGGGAGCTTTCAGCTGTCAAAAGGAGACATATCTTACCGCAGTGAGGACAAAGCACTAACACAAAGGGTGGGCAACTGCATATAAACTACTCATGTTTGTTGCCTATGCATCCCTTTTACTTTTGCAGAATTAATGTAGTGAGATCTTACAGTTTTTCTCGTTAATTCTTCTTCTGAAAGATCTCTGTCTACCAGCAGCCACATACACAAGTGACCTTGCAATAACAAAGCAAGTTGTGCTTCAGCAGGAAGGAGGTTCTGGAATAACATCTGGCCTGCAGTGTAGGGATATTTTCTCTTGTATGCTGTGCTAAGGTTTCACATTGCATTAGATGATTACTCCAAGGACTTTTCTGATTCAGAATATAGTGAATTGTGAATTTCAAGATGGTTTGCTTCTCCTTTGTTCAGGTGATAAATTGAATAATTGATTAATTTGTCATTTATTCTAACATAAATCAAGAGCATCTTGTTAAAACTGACAGAATTTTACTGATATAAAACTCTCTAGACTTTCTGCGCCCAAAATCAGTACCAACCCTTGCAACATCTGTTGGATAACATTCACCATAGACAAGGCTTTTGATGGAGGTCATCATGTTTTCATAGTTTCATATGGGTCAGTAGACCAGTTCCAAGTAACTTACCACAGGAGTATGGACTACTTGTAGATTTGAAAGCCTCTAATTGAAAATCATAAAGTAGGAAAGAAGATCATTGCTCCTATGATATCAGTAATCAATACCACACAAGTAAGATGCATGTTTCCGTTTCTAGGGGAAGAAATCAAAAATGCAAAAGGGATCTTTTTTTTTTTTTTTTTTTTTTTTTTTACTCAACTGGAATTTGGCCAGAACTGCAGCAAATTCTGGTAGCAGAATAAGAGGAAAAATTTAGCAAGTTAAGACAAAAAGGAAATTTAAGGAAAATGAAGCTGCTTTGGCCTAACTCGTTGCATTATGCTTTTCAGATGTTGCTGACATCTCTGAACTGTAGGAAACATGTTTGTGGTGTCTCCTTTATAGCCAGGTGAGTTTGGGGCAGTGGAACCTTACTGTTCTGGCCTTATAACTGAACGTTGTTGGTCTCGCTGTATCATGGATGCTTGCTTAGTTTTACAATTATCAGAGTCACTTCTGTGGCAGTGTGTGAAAACCCATGCAAATATGTCAGTTCATATTTACCTTACTACTAAAATTCATTTTGCATGTCCCTGTAATAATTTGCACTAGTCACTGGCTATTTCTTCCAACTATCTGAGCAGCACTTGTCACTTCACTGGCTGATGAGTTTCCTATGTAGGATCAGGTGAGGTTTCGGCTTCTATAGAGGAATTGCCAAAGAATAGGACAGTGTGTGTTCTTTTTCATCCTCTCCCCAATTCCTCATGGGAGTAGTGCTGCCTCCAAAGTGGTGTTTGGCTGATAAACTTGAGCAGTGAAATTCAGGCCTGAAACATAGCGCTACCTTTTTAGCAATGCATCACTCAAAACGCATGAACTGTTTGGCAGGTATTTCTGTGATTCTAGATGATGCTCATCTTGCCAGGGACCGATGCCATGGATGTGTGAGCAGAGTGAGCCCTTACTTGCCAGGGTGACAGAGTGAGGAAGCCCTCAGGGCTTCTTGCTAGAGAGGCAGAGATGGGATCAGAGTGTGAGCTGAGGTCTGGGCAGGGCTGAGTGGGGGGATCTGAGAGATCTGCAGAGCTGGAAGTTGATACCAGCTAAATTACTGAACCAGCAGCTAGTTAAGGGCATGAGGGGTCTGGGCAAAGCATTCGGAAGACAGATCCTGCCCAAAATATAGCCACATAAAACCAGCGTAACTCCAGTGATTTTGGAGACAATCATTACTTGAGTCTGAATCATGACTGTTAAATTTTTTAGATACTGACTATTATTTACCTGGGGCAAAATATGCTTCTCTATCATTGTGCTGAGCTTCCATTGCAGAACTCAGCTAAATTTAGCATTATACTTTGCTCCTTTTTTCTCTGGAGTTTGCTCTCACCTTATGTGCAGAATGATCTAAATTTACTGGAGCTTTATCACCTGCTTCAGAAAGAAACACCTCCTTTTTCTCACTGAATCTACAAGTTAAGTAGCAGTGAACTCCAAACAGTCAGAGCAAGCTGAGTACACTTGAGGCTCATGTAGTCAGTATGTTAGTGTATCTAATAATTAAAAAATATAGTTATGTCAGTTGCTGTTCCCTGCAGAGTTTTAACTTTAGTTTAGTGCTGTGGAGCACATAAACTAAAGTCCTTCATGGACTCACTTTGCCTCTTTCACTTTTGGATTTCTAATTTTGCTGTGATATAGTTTTTTTATTGTAAAATATTTACCATGGGGAGAGTGGAAATGTTTAATCATTCAGATTTTTATTAAGAATCTTTAAGTTGCAAACCAAATGCACATTTACTTGTTTGTAAACTTGTTCATTGCCATCCGGACTGTTTGTAGCACTATGAGGGCAGCTCACTATGTCCCAGAGCCTTGTTGTCCCAGCAAACTGCCCTGGTCCTAGAGCTGCAAAGGTAATACAAAGCATACAAGGCAGGAGGGGCCTGGGCAGTATCAAACATTTCAGGTTGTCCGCAGTTTCCCTCTAGATGGATAATGATCAAACCTGGTCGTGTGGCTTTTTAATGTCTGAAGTATTGTGAGCTTGAGCAATGACCGTATGGTAACAAATGAGAACAAGGAAGTGGAAGTGAGCAGTCCAGTTTTGTGTTTTAGATATAACAGAAAAATACAACAAAGTAAGCAAGCAAGCAATATATACAGATAAACTTGTTAAGGTAACTATAAAACATACCCAAACCTGTCTCCTGTGGAATTTATGATCTAAAAGCATTGAAAGAATATTGGATGTTTAAATCTAGTGACCGTGATCTGGAATATTTAAGGGACAATAACTTATATGACACCTCTGTGTGAAGAAATACGTATATTCCATTTTAATAGTCTGAAAGCTTGTGGTTTGAAGGGCAAAAAAAATTTGGTGATTTTATGTTCACAATATCCTCTTAAACTAAAAGACAACCTTGCTTGCTATTTTTCTTGTTGCTAATCAAACTGTTTCATGTTCTTGCTGCAACTGGAAAACCTCCCTCCCACATGCACACACCTCAGTCACTCATCTAATTCAGTACCTGAACAGTCTGGTTTGTCAGGGTGAGCCAACTCTGGCACTTACATCACCATTTATCCACTATTGAACTGTCACACTGAAAGTTGACTAATATTTTCTGATGCTTTGGCATTTTCGATAAAGAGATTTCCAAGACAGGTTGTAATTTCTGTTTTCTCACACGTAATTAGTCTCCCATCCCATTAAGCACAACATATAATGTTTGTTTCTTAGAAATATTCAAGTTGGTATTTCATTTGAGTCACAGGTGGAAGCTAAATGGCTGGATATCTTGAAAGCATCTATTTCAAGCCAGTGAACTGTTCAGAGAGACCATCATGTTGCTGAATATAATATAGCATATCGGAAAGGCAGTGCCTTGAACAGGACACAAATGCCAATTAAAAGCTACCCCATAACAGGATCAGACCCTGGTGAAGGATCCCTCAGTTCCAAGGCAGCATGGCAGTCTCCTTGGATCACACATGGATTCTCTACAACTGCACTCTCCAGTCCTATAAAAAGTCAGTTAATGATTTTTACTCTTTTACTGGTATTTTTACTGTGTTTTCACTGCATATTTAACTTTACAGAGCAACATGAAGCTTTAGACATTAATTCTGAACCTGAAGGATCCAAACTAGCTGTGAATGGCCTAAATGAGAGGGACCAATTATGAAAGATTCCTCATTGAAGGAAGGGTTCCTTACTCAGTTTCAGAAGATGAAACTTGTCTGAACTGGCAGTCTTATGACTTGCCTCTGCGTACAGTCATGCAGGTTAGCTCTCTCCTCACTCATACATTCTCTCTATGGTAGAGAAAGTGGATATGCATAAACAGCAGTCATAAATACAAAGTATTTAGTGGAGATTTGGCTTGATTTCGTGTTTCGTCTTGTCTCTCTCAAGTGTTCCTATTCATTGCCTTTCTTATTTTCCTCTTTGAAGAACTGTCCGAGATAAAAATTCCCTCTTGGCATCCATATTCTGCGGGGCAGTGTGGGATCTTGTCACCACCTTTCCATCTTCCCCTTCCACTCTGACAGCAGCTGCCTCCAGTATAGGCAGATATGGTGTCTGCAACTCCCATTTTTAGTGGCATTATTAAGTGTAAACTCTTTTCCACAGTAAAGAAACCACAGAGGCAAGGAAGGGAGGAGGGAGTGTGGAGTCCTTTACCGCAGGTGCAGAGAATGCTGTTGCAACAGGAGATTATTCATGCTTGAGCAGCATCTTCAAATCCAGTAGGCTGCTGACTTGGCCTCCTTGTAGAAAGAAATACGGAACTTTTTCTGGGTATTAATTATTCACCACCGCAGAATGATTGAAAACACTCGTGAATTCTTTTAGCAAGTAGTCCCTAGTAAATATGTATTCTGTGAAATCCTGAGTCAGTTGTGTTGATGGCAATTTCTGTACAGATTTCAAGGGGGCTAGAATCTAATCTGGTCTACTCAGTTTAGTCAAGATGACATGGGCATCAGCATCTCCAATAAGTGAATTATCCTGTTTCTATAGGGCTTGTCGTAAGTGTATCTTAACTCCTCTATCTAAGTACTCAGAAGGTTCCTATCACTACTGAATGCAAATGTGAACTAGATCTTGCATAAAATCAACTTAGTGGAGCTATTCCTGATTTACAATGGCCTCAGTTAAATCAGAACTGAATCCTTAAAAAAAAATATCTCTAGAGTGCTTTGAGCATTATTCAGAGTGTTGTAAGAGAGCCACAAACAAAGGCATTTCTTACTGGAAGTTGAACAGATTTACTGAACTGTTGCAATGTAAACACAAACACCTTACAACTGAGACACGTTTCTTCAGACTCACTCCAGTCCTGGGTACAGAACAAGGTGAGATGAGTAACATGAATGGAAGGCTTTATTTAATCTTCTGACTTGCTGCAACAGAAAAAATTACTAGAGAGTGTGTTGAGTGACAGTTCTCTTAAAAGGATTGTCTTGAGAACATTTTAACACTGATAAGATGGTGACTAACATTTCAGAGCTGTTACAACACTGCACCTGCAGGGAGGCCACTCCTTGGGAATCAGTCCAACAGGGAGTAAGCTATGAGAACACAGGAGGAAAAAGAGCTGCAGAACGAAGAGACAAGAACTAGTGAGAAATACTAGATATTTATACATGTGGAGTAGACCCCTCTCCCTAGCGTCAAAGCCCATGTTTCCTCCACAAGACAGCTGGGATTTGCAAGGGCTGGGTGTCCCTTTTTGTCCTCTGATAGTGCTCTATGGCTGCCCTGACATTTTGTGCAAGATCAAAAAGGTGAGTGAATCTGTAAGAAGAAATAAAAGAGCTGGGCACTGCACAAGATGAGTCCAGATCTCCTCCTGTTGAAGCAAACCTCTCCCTCTGCAAGCCCTCAGCCCTCAGTGAGCCAACCTGCCTCTCCTAATTCACCAGCCATCCTGGTCATGGCCACCCAAGCTGCCAGTTCCCTCGCTCGGCACACCTGCTGCCACTTATGCAGTGAAGGAATATATATCTCTCCTGCAGTGTTTGAGAGCTTTTAACCTCCAGTTTGCACAATTATAAATGAAAATCCAAGGGTAAAGGCAGAGGGGTATGTGAGAACAGTACTGGAAGAAAGAAGGGCAATGTTTAAATCCTTAGCAGCTGTGCTTTGAGTTTGAGTGTGGGGTTTGTAGGGCCTGGTGCTGTAGCAGTTTGCTATCTTTGGGTTGTGATATTTAAAATGGTGTGCACACACACACAGACACACATGCAGAGAGCTGGCTGTTTGTACTGGCTGAGCTTCTGGTTTTCCATGTTCATAGCTACGAAATCAATAGGTCTGGTGTTCCAGCCAGTTTGAAGAGTGGTTTTATTTTGTTTTCCTGACTACCCTCCTTACCAATTTTAATTGGAAGAAAG